AATCACTCTTTGTACAACAGGTATAGTACAGTCTTTACCGTTTAACTTATAACCTTGTATTCACATTATTGACCAATCACAGGCTAACATTGTCTTTTCTAGTCCATTTTTTGACTTTTCAAATGTTGTGTAATGATAGTTTGACTATATCAATACTTAATGATCGTGACTTCAGTCTCTAATTTATTGAATTCTAACTTCCTTAGTGTACACTATTTCCTTCATTATTCTTCACAAATGGGTTATCTTCCTGTCATTCAATACAGTATACAGACTGAGTTTCTGTCCAAGTACACATATATCCAGTAATTTTCATAGCCTGGTCACAATGGAAAAGACAACGATGAGATTTATTGAATTCATTGTATTCGACAAACCTTTTTGTTTCTACTTTACTAACATTTGAGAAGGGGATCAACTATGTGGTAATTCTGTAGGATCAGCTCGGCCAGCTGAGATATCCATAGTTTAGTAATCTTGTATTGATACTGAGTGATGACTGAATATGGAAAAGCAATCGGATAAAACTCTTGGTGATTTAAGTAAGATCTGGTCAGTAGTCAGGTCTGGTAGCTCATCTGCCAGAGCACTGGGTCGTAAACCCTTGGTTTGATGGTTGGAATCCTGCTAGGATGCAGACTTTTATTTCACCTTCAATCATCACGCAGTATCAGTTCTGTATTAGTTGACACAAAGTGACTTATGCTCATTTCCAAGATAAAGTTGAAATTAGAGAGCATATCACCAAAGTTATCACAATTCCAGCTGAAGAAATGTGAACAGAGTAAAGGTCAGTTGATTAGTCTGTCAGATTACGCAACATATTATGACTGGAGGATAAGGGCTCACACAACTAAAATACTTTATTTAATGATGGATGGTAGCTAGCAGTGGAATCGAGGATGCGCATTTAGTCCTATTTGGGACTCATCAGCTGGATGTACCTGCTTCCCAGTGAGTGATGTTGTTCCCACCGCAGTACATCCAGCTGACGAGTCCCAAACAGGACAAAATGCGCATCCTGGATTCCACTGCTAGCCACGATCCATCATTAACATAATTAGAACACTGGCAATATTGAGGAATCGGTACAGGAGCCCATATGCCAGTAGAGACTAATCAATTCGGTCCAATCAACGACGGTTTCATCTGAAAACAATTATACTAAAATACTGAATTGATTTCAAACAAGTGACAGCAGTCTGCTGTTTCACTTGTTCCTATGACATTCCATAAACTACTCATATTGTCATAGTAGACATGATGATAATCATAAATTTAGTCGTAAAATCTCATCAACTGCCTAGTGACCCTTATATTCATCTGGGATTACGCGTTAACGATTATCTGCTTATATTACTGTAGATGTGAAAAATTGAAGTTCCACCTAGTTATCTGAACTGAAATGACTAGTCACCACTACCTTATGAACTCTTACCAGGATACCTCGATATTACTGTGGATTTCAGTTTAACAGTAATGATGAATACTGACTAGAGATGAAGTCTGGTACTTTGATTTCGTCTTGCTCAGGACCCTGCAGCTGGATATATCTGCTTTACAGTAAGTTATATTTTCCCCGCTCCCCAAGACTTGAACTCAGCACCTGTTGTTCTAAATACTGGAGCTAAAGAGTTCCGAAACCCACCCCTTGTACGACAAACTTTGTCGGGAATATCTATATGGGGACCCATATGCCGATAGTGGTCGGTAAATTCGTTTCAGTCAGCGACGGTGAACTGCAATTTGAAAAATCAAGCTACGCTAATCATAGAAGAAGGTAATACCACAATTCAGTGACCTGGTAGACAAAACTCTGGAATTTGAAGGAATAGGTTCTGCGTTGGAGTCTCGGAGGCGAACAACACCATTCACTTGGAAGCGGATTCTCCCAGCTGATGAATGACAAGTAGGACTGTAGTGCTAATCCCTATCCGTTGGTACTATGTTATCTCCAGTATTATATTTTTTACCAAAAATACCAGTTATATTCAACCAAATATGTGATATTCTTCAGTAAGTCATTAACCAGGTTACTAGTCTTTTTCTTTGATCTGCTCAATCAGCGTAGATGTTTTGCATAGTTGTAACTTGAACTGAAGCAAAGTAATGTGATGCTACTGTGTTTCTGGAACTTTTAAAAACTGTTTACCATGGTTCTTCGAAGGTGTATGTTTATGGACACAACAACCTTCATAAAGTAGCTTCATTGCTTCGCAACATAATAAAATAAATATTTTAGAAAACTCTTTTTAAAGCTAAAGGTGGAAATTGATTGGTTACTAGAAAGTAACCAGTTTCATGTTACAGTAGGGATTTAAGATACTTGAGTATAAAACAATTAGTTCCTTCTATGGATTTGGATAAAAGGATAAGTATATGTACTTTAACTGAAAATTGTGGAGCGATTGCTCCATGCACTTCGAACAATTTGGTGGTGATTCGGTAGTCTAGTGGACAACGGTCAGACGTTTGAACACATGGGCGCTTGATTCGGGTCTTGTTGGGAAGGTTGGCATTACCAACTGACTAGTCCTAGAGAGGATGAGACACATGTTCACTGTTCCACTGTTAGCCACTATACATTATTAGTATTCATTTGACTGGGCAGTTATCTTTCACAGTATTTGATAAGAAAACTGCTAATAAAGGAAGCATTATAAGTTATGAAACCAACCTTGGGAATAGGATAAGATAAATATTATCAGGGTAGGTTTAGTGTGAGAACAGGTTGGTTTTAAAAGTACAAGTAGCACGCTTTAGCAAACATAAGCATGAGACCGTCACATTCTATATAAATTGTGAAGACTTTAGAAGATTAATCTTGTAAACTTTATCAAAAATCAATACATATTAAACCGAGAACTGGGGGCAGAGGACAAATACAACAACTGACACAATAGGGGATTAAAGTTAAGAAAGATGAGGACAAACAGGAAGTGACATAGTTGATCCTAATCTTGGTAAGAAAACAAAGTTTACCAAGGTAGGTGTAGTGTAAGAACCAACTGCTTTTGTACACAAAAGGTGGTTTCAATTTGTGTATGGCTATAGCTTCCGAGAATCTCAGAACACTTCCCTGACTGTTTCCATATAAAACTTTGAAAGCTGTTTGAACATTAACTTTGTGACCTGTTTCTACGATATGTTTGGCTATAGATAAAGAGGGTCGTCTCCCACCAGTGTTTATCACTGTTTCACACTCCATTTATCAAAAATGTATTTTACAATAGATAAAGATGGCTGTCTGCCACATTTACTTGTTGACGCTTGTTAATCCGGTAGGTTTATATCCATTTCAGTACATGTTCCACCAGCTTCAAGTGTATATCTGAATTATTCTTCTCTAAGTATGTGCTTTCACATACACACACATGTTGGCCGGTTAACACAGTAGGATGTCGTTTATTCAGAACAAGAATAATTTGAGCGAACAGCTGTTTTCAATAACTTCTTCAACCTCTAAAGTTATAAATCCATGAGAATAAGTGAAATACAATATCCAAAATGAAACATTATTATTATTATTATTATTATTATTATTATTATTATTATTATTATTATTATTAGTCCCTTGGGTTCCTAGTGGAACATAGGGCTTCAGTAGCACGCCTCCAGTGACCTCTGTTCTCTGAGATCTTTTGAACCTGGTTCCACGACAGCCCACAACCTCTCATTTCCTCCTCACACGACCTCCTCCATGTCACCCTCGAGCGTCCAACTCGTCGCTTCCCATGGGGATTCCACTCGAGCAACTGGCCTGACGCGTGATGTCTTCAGTCAACCTTCTCAGTGCATGGCCAATCCATCTCCACTTCCTTCCAGTGCATATTTGTTGGGTGATAGGTTCTTGGTTGGTTCGTTCCCAGAGTTCCTTGTTGCTTATTCTCACCATTCTGGCAATCCATCTGATCTTCAGTAGCGAGCGTTAGCAGTTATTGATGAATGTCTGTAGTTTATTGGAAATCCCTTTCGTGACGCGCCAAGTCTCTGAACCATACCAAACCTCGCCTGGTTAACTAGTTCACTAGTTACTTATTATTATTAGTCCCTTGGGTTCCTAGTGGAACATAGGGCTTCAGTAGCACGCCTCCAGTGACCTCTGTTCTCTGAGATCTTTTGAACCTGGTTCCACGACAGCCCACAACCTCTCATTTCCTCCTCGCATGACCTCCTCCATGTCACCCTCGGACGTCCAACTCGTCGCTTCCCATGGGGATTCCACTCGAGGGCCTGACGCGTGATGTCCTCAGTCGGCCTTCTCAGTGCATGGCCAATCCATCTCCACTTCCTCCTGCATATTTGTTGCGTGATAGGTTCTTGGTTGGTTCGTTCCCAGAGTTCCTTGTTGCTTATTTTTTCTGGCCATCTGATCTTCAGCAGCGAGCGTAAGCAGTTGTTGATGAATGTCTGTAGTTTATTGGAAATGCCTTTCGTGACGCGCCAAGTCTCTGAGCCATACAAGAGCACTGACTTGACGTTGGTGTTGAAAATCCGTATCTTGTTCCAGATGCTGAGTGCAGAAGATCTCCACACTGGTTTCAGGCTAATGAACGCCTGTCTTGCTTTTCCGATTCTGACTTTGACGTCCTCGTCCGTCCCGCCTGTAGTTGAAACAGTGCTTCCTAGATAAGTGAAGGAGGTTACTTCCTTCAAGTTTCTCCCGTTGACGGTGATTGGAGTTTGTTGTTGTTGTTGTTGATGGTGGTGGTGCGGTATCTTCATCACTTCTGTCTTCTCTATATTCACCTGAAGTCCCGTCTTGGCTGCCTCTTCTGTCAACTTGTTAGTTTTTGCCTGCAGATCTTCAAGTTTATGTGACATTAGGCATAAGTCATCGGCGAAATCCAAGTCTTCTAGGTTCTTTTCCGTCGTCCAGTGTATCCCCCTCTTCTCGCTGCCTACTGTTTGCTGCATGATCCAGTCCACCACAATAAGGAATATCATGGGGGATAGTAGGCAACCTTGTTTCACTCCTGTCTTCACTTCAAAGGCATCACTGAGCTTCCCATTGTGGATTACTTGCTGGCATGTGGCATCTTCATATAGTTGTTGAATGAGGCGGATAAAGGTTTGCGGTACTCCGTAGTATTGAAGCAGTTTCCAAATTACTTCTCGGTCGACGCTGTCAAAGGCCTTCTCAAAGTCGATGAAGTTGAGGTATAGAGCTGATTGCCATTCTACGCTCTGTTCTATGATGATACGAAGCGTTGCAATTTGGTCAGCACATGATTTGTACTTCCTGAAGCCTGCCTGTTCCGGTCGCAGTTTTGAATCCAGTGCGTCTTTAAGCCTCTCCAGGATGATGCGGCTTAATATTTTACTTGGGGTGGACAGGAGAGTGATTCCGCGCCAGTTCTTGCAAGCACTGAGGTCTCCCTTCTTCGGCAGTTTGACAAGGTAACCCTTCTTCCAATCGTCAGGTACCTTCTCTTCCTTCCACACCTTCTGCAATAGTGGTGTGGTGTGAGCATGTCCGCTGTTGTCTCTGCATCTGTTCTCAGTGCTTCTGGCGGTATTCCATCTGGTCCTGCTGCTTTCCCGCATTTCAGTAGCTTTATGGCGTTCAGGACTTCCATTTTCGTTGGGGGATTTATGTTCACTTGTAATTCAGCGGCTGCAGGTGGTATTTCTGGACGAAGTGCAGGTGGTGGTCGATTCAAGAGCTTCTTGAAGTGGTCGGCCCATCGTTTCCTCTGTTTCTCTTCTTTTGTAATTAAATTTCCTTCTTCATCTTTTATTGGTTTCATCTGTGTTGGTCTCTTCCCTGATAGCAACCTGGTTATTTGATACAATGTCGTCAGGTCTCTCTTACCTGCAGCCTGTTCTGCTTCACTTGCCAGTGTGTCGTAGAAGTGTCTTTTGTCTTTGCGTGCACTCTTCTTCACTTCTTTGTCCAGTGTTTTATACATTGTGCTCAGTTCCTCTTGTCGTTGAGCATCCTTGCACTGGTTTATCTTCTGCTTCACCATCCTCCTCTCCCTCTATCAGCTTCCAGGTATCCGTCGAGATCCATTCCTTGTCTTCTTTCTTCTTCCTTCCTAATACTGTTGTGCAGGTTTCTTTCCACATAGCTTTCAAAGACTTCCAGTGTTCTTCCACACAGGTTTCTTCAGGGATGTCCCTCGATGTCTCCCATTTTGTCTTGATGGCTGCCTTGAAGATCTCCTTTGTAGTTTCATCCTTCAGTTTCCGAGTGTTGTACTTGAATTGAGGTCTATCACCAGCTTCCTTGAAGGCTTTTAACTTGATTTGGAAGGTTCCTTGCACTAGATAGTGGTCTGAACCTACATCTGCTCCTCTTCTTGACCTTGTGTTAAGTAGACTGCGTCTCCATTTTCTTGAGATTGAGATAAAGTCGATTTGATTTTTAGTGTGTCCATCTGGTGAAGTCCATGTCGCTTTGTGGATATCCTTGTGCCTGAACACACTGCCTCCAATCACCAAATCGTTGAATGCACAGAATTCTGCAAACAATTCTCCATTCTCATTCATTTCACCTAGCGCCTCTCGACCCATGGTTAGTTCTCTTCCCGTGTTGTCCCCTCCCAGTTTGGCATTCATGTCGCCCATTAGAATTTTGATATCGCCAACTGACGTCTTGTCCAGTGTTGATTGAAGTTGTCTGTAGAAATCCTCCTTTTTCTCTTGCTCTGCATTATTTGTAGGTGCATAACATTGTATGATTGTGACCTTTCTTCCTTTTGAGTTGAATCTTGCTGTCATGATCCTGGAGGAGATTGGTTCCCACTGCATGAGAGCCTTCGATGCTCTTGAGGACATCATGATAGCCACTCCCTCAGTGTGCTCGTGGTTGGCGTCTGGGTGACCGGAGTAGATTATTGATTCTCCAGTTGACAGTTTGGAGAGTCCACTCCCATTCCATCTGCTTTCGCAAATCCCAAGCACTTCGATGTGATACCTTCTCATCTCCTTTGCAATCTGGGCTGCCTTACTGGGTTCAAACATCGTGCGGACATTCCATGTCCCCACGTTTACTTTCGCTTTCATCGAGAGAAGACACATCGGCCAATTGGCTTCCCGAAGGCTTTCACCAACTGGCGTCATTTCGCCTCTCCGATTCCAGCGGGGAATAAGTTTGTTTTCATTTTTTATATTTTGTTTGTGCTTTGAAGTTTCTTTAGCGGTTAGATTTGTTTTACGGGGTAGGGTTGCTAGCCCTATGCCCAACCTTCCCTCTTTACCCGGGCTTAGGACCGGCTAGTAACTAGTAGCCTAGTTAACCAGGCGAGGTTTTACTAGTTACTAGCCAGTCCTAAGCCCGAGTAAAGAGGGAAGGTTGGGCATAGGGCTAGCAACCCTACCGCGTAAAACAAATCTAACCGCTAAAGAAACTTCAAAGCACAAACAAAATGAAACATGATGTACAATTATTACTATATTAAAACAGTCAGTGTTATGATGGGTGAATGGAGATGAAATCAAATGAAATGGTGAAATGGTAATCAGTCTAGTGTGTTAGTTGTGTAATGAAATCACTATTGCCGAAAAAATAACGAAATGAGGAGATGAACTCTACAGATAATGATTCATTTATATAAATTTACTGGGGTGTACACATGTGCATGTTTGTTTACTAAGTGTCAAATAGTAATTATCTAATGATGATATATTCAAGTGGGGCTGAATTACAGAATAAAAAACATATGTTCCGATGACTGTATTGAAGAAGAAATAAATAAGCTGAAGATGATATTGCAGCAGAATGGCTATCCCCTAAACTTCATAAATAAACACATGTTCAAAACTAGAGAGAAGATAAAGATAATGTTGCTAAGACGTCTATGTATCTTAGACTAAGTTTCATAGGTGATATTGCCTCTGAAATCTTAACATATCGATTAAATGGATCAATCCAAAAAACATTCACTGCAAAGAAACTTTCTGTTAGCTTCTCAGCCAACCATTACTGACACGGAAAACCAAGGATAGGTTACCAGTGATGGATGCATTGATCAGGTCAACTGCTGCTGTGGAGCTGGTTACATAGGCCGTACTCAAAGGGCTCTCTATCCACGCGTGCTCGTGAATATGTACCTACTTGGTTAGGGAAAGGAATAGGAAAGAGCACCAACAGTACAGTCCTTACACATCTAGTGGTTACAGGACGTCAGATCAGGGTAGATTACGCCATTTGATGATATACCATGTCTCTTGAAATCTTTCCAAAGGCACACGACTTAGCATCTTATCCATAGACGAAGCCATAGATATCAGAGCAGGAAAATCGAACCTATTGGTTCAGAAGAAGTTTGTACCTCCACTTTATTTACCTTGGGCCGCAATATAGTTGACACATTCTTTATGAACTTTCCTACTACCAATTTGTACACATTAACATTCCAACGTTTTCTTCTATTTTGTCATAACGTTGATAAACATTCATTTTCTTATGTTATTATTTCTATACCCTTCTTTGTTCATGCTACTACTGGTAGTCATTTTCAGCGGCGAAGTAAAACGACACATTCTCTATTTCGTGATAGCATTCACATGATTCACCCCCCCCACACACACACTTGCAGATTATAAGTCATCATTAGATAGTTACTATTTCACACTTAGCAAACAAACACACACATATGTACACCCCAGTAAATTTATATAAATGAATCATTATCTGTAGAGTTCATCTCCTCATTTCGTTATTTTTTCGGCAATAGTGATTTCATTACACAACTAACACACTAGACTGATTACCATTTCACCATTCCATTTGATTTGATCTTCATTCACCCATCATAACACTGACTATTTCAATATAGTAATAATTGTACATCATGTTTAATTTTGGATATTGCATTTCACTTATTCTCATGGATTTATAACTTTAGAGGTTGAAGAAGTTATTGAAAACAGCTGTTTGCTCAAAGTATTCTTGTTCTGGATAATCTATGGGGATCTTCAAAGTATTACAATAGTTTATACAGGGATGAGATTTATGGTGCAACATGAACTTCAGTGTAAATCCATTTTAATTCAGATATTTAGTGATTATCAGTAGCTTAGTTAGTAATATAGCTGTTCAAGATATATTCAGTACCGAAATACGCTTAGGAAACTGATATAAGATATCCAAGAGAAAAGGTACAGGAATTCTACAATAATAGTATTCAAGACACTTATTGAAGAGAGACTACGTGGAGACATTTCTGTTAATCCCAACAGGTTTATATCTAGTTAGGAAGTAAATAGAATTGAAATAAAAAGACTCCCAATTGGATTCGAGTTCCATTACCCAAGAAAATATAATAATAAGGTTGATATCTATATTCGGGTTCCGAATTTATAGTTTCAACTATCCGAAATGAGATCAATGAGTGAAAGGAATTAGAGTTTGTTAAAATCCAGACCAGTTAAGATTGTCAGTCAATATATAACATGACAGGGTCCACGGGGACTTATTGATTCTATACTGGCATTCCTCATGGACTGAAACCAGTTAAGCAGGCAGTCGAAACCTGGGAGCACTGAATGGTAGTTTCATCCTAGTATTGAACTCCTCAATAGTGCAGTCACGACTCTGCCAGGAATCGGACCCAGGGCTTTCAGGTTTCCTAATATTCTCACCACAGTCTTGAAGGTTTTGGACTTGATTCCTGGCAGTGCGGTAGTTGCTCACTGTCTATGAGTTCCGTATTTAGAAAAAACAGCTTTCCAGTGCTCCCAGGTTTCCAACGGTTCTTTAACTCATGCCAGTTCCTGACGAACGAAAACATATATGTAAACCAAGGCTTGAAAGAATCACTTACCCCACTGGAGAAGACGGCTGCAACCGCCGAAATTGATTCAGTTTTCCAAACCAACTTCTGACTGAAACAATCTAAAGTATGCAAATTCATTTGAAATATTGAAATCATATTTATCTGTGATTTCACGTTTACTTGCAAAAGCGTATGTATCTTAAGATCAGAGGTAACAGTATTCAGTATTACGGGTGAGCATGTTCTTAGAAATTTTAAGGCTGCTTTTTAACAAAATAATTTATAGTATACTTGTTTCTAGAACCGGAATCCACTATGTGGGTTTCGTCCCACTTCAAACTCGTCAGCCTGATGAATCTTCACCTAAGTGGAGGGTGCTGTTCTCACCAGGACTCCAGCCCAGGATCCATCTTTGAAGCACCAGAGCGATATCCACTAGGTTACTGACGACTAGAAGTCCTATTCACCAACATAAAAACTATACCTGTCAAACAAGAAGTGACTATCGTGATTCAGTATACATCCGGTCGAGGAGTCTCAAACAGGACGAAACGCGCGTCCTGTCCCGTCTGCGCGTGCATTCGACTGCTAACTATGAACAAATAAGCCGTTGCATAAAGAATAATCAGACAATAACGAGGCATACATACCAGCAGGGGTCGGTCAATTCGATCCAGTATAACAACAGGAGACTATAAGTGTTCGTAACTAAGCCTAGTTTATCGTCACATAAGCGATACTGGTCATGACATCAATCTTTTGATATTATTTATAATGACAAACAAACCAGTGAGTCACAACTGGTTGCTTTTTAAATTTTTTCAAAAATACTAATCACTGTATCCCAAACAATTTTTGGTAAAGTTTATAACTATCATTATGATACATTACAACAGTAACAAAACATATATATGTACATTTACGACATTTCGATTGGTGTTATTATAATTGCTATGGTAATAGCTGTTAAACAGCTGAAATCAGACCAGTTTATTCCTAACTACCATGATAAATCAATCCATTGTTTAATCTTGCATCATTACCAATTCAAATACTCCTTGTTTGTCTTTCTGATCACTTTTTATACCACTACTATTAGCTAGTGCATTCTCGCACATCTTATTTCTTTTGTCTAGTGTAAGCATATTTGAAAATGCTTATGCAATTCAAGGCATTAGTTTTTATTCGTTAGCGAACTTTGTCTTCAGTATATTTCTAATTTCCTGTTAACTTCATGAAAATATTTCCCTACTCTTCATATAAATAATCAACTTTTAAAGAGTTTATTCAAATAACTGTCAACTTCATTGATTTCTGTTTCCTTATTTTAATGTTATAACCATCCTAAGGGAATCTTTATTGGGAAATGTTAGCCTAGTATTCAGCTTTATTCATTTTCCTTGTTCAGTTTTTCGTCTATAGACTCATAATTCTCACTGTGATTTCAAAAACAAGATATTCAACGAAGAGGATTCGTTTCATAGAATTTATTCTCAAACTGTAGATTCTTATATATATACATGACATTTAAAGACTGTAATCCGTGGGGAAGATTTAGTTTA